ACCCATAGCCCCCTTTGGAATTCAGACAGGCCCATGACTAATTACAATGCAGTGCCCTAGAGAAGAGTGCAGTTCATCGTGACACATAAATTCAGATGAAGAAACAATAAAATTAGGCAGAAGTATTTGTTATACAACCATGATAAACACAACACTGTATTGAAGAGTTGTGAGGAGCAGTAGGAGCATGCTCTCAATCATTTAAGAAGAGTCCAAAGTAGTAAGAGAAAAAGAAGAAAACATACATGAAAAGAATTATTGCAAAAAATCCAGTATAAATTCATATTGCCTAAAATATATACCAATATATTTGACAAGTTATAATCAAATCATCAAATATTAATACCTCTTTTGTTACCACAAAAAAAGCCAAATTAAAACCCTACAACCAAGAACTTACATAGAAGGTGAAAAGATAAATTTGAAATAGTGGGGTTTTTTTTTCTTTTTTAAATGATAGTATTATTTGGGGCACCTGGGTGGCTCAGTCGTTAAGCATCTGCCTTCGGCTCAGGTCATGATCCCAGGGTCCTGGGATCGAGCCCCACATTGGGCTCCCTGCTCGGTGGAAAGCCTGCTTCTCCCTCTCCCACTCCCCCTGCTTGTGTTCCTGCTCTCGCTATCTCTCTCTCTGTCAAATAAATAAATAAAATCTTTAAAAAAAAAAAAAAGTATTTGTACATTGAAGAAACTAAGCAGTACAGATAATTTTTTAAAAATTTTTAAGTCAAAAAAAAAATTTTTAAGTCACCATCAATAGTATTGTAGAAAAACAAGTCCTATTAGTATTTTAATGTATTTCTTCTCAGGTTTCTTTTGAATATTTTTTTTCCAAATGTTATATATTCTTTATAAATAACTGCACTGAATTTTCTCACAGAATACTAACATAAGTATTTTCTTGTTATACATGTTTCGTAAATATTTTTGGGATACATAATCTTGGCAGATGTGTTTTAGATAATCATATTCCTGTTGAGTTATTTAGGCTTTTTATAATTTTTTACTTATAAGAGCCTCTGCATAAAGCTTTTTCTGTTTTTAAAAGTAATGTCTTTAGGATGAATTTCCAGAAGTGGAATTACTGAATCAAAGAATGTGAAAATTTTTTTAATTCTTCTCACTTCTGTCAGATTGTCATTGTCATTTCTATCAAAAGATTTCCAATGTACTGAGCACAGAATATCATCTTTTTCAGGGCACCTGGGTGGCTAAGTTGGTTGAGCATCCAACTCTTTTTTTTTTTTAAGATTTTATTTATTCATTTGAGACACAGAGATAGAGAGAGACCGCATGAGCAGGGGAAGAGGCAGAGGCAGAGGGAAAAGCAGGCTCCCCGCTGAGCCAGGAACCCGATGTGGGGCTCGATCCCAGGACCCTGGGATCATGACCTGAGCCGAAGGCAGACGCTTAACCATCTGAGCCACCCAGGCGCCCCAGAGCATTCAACTCTTGATTTCAGCTCAGGTCATTCTCTCAGGGTCATGGGATCGGCTCAGCATGAGAGTCTGCTGGAGATTCTCCCTCTCCCTCTGCCTCTCTCCCCACTCACAGGCATGTGTACCCACATGCACTCTCTCCCTATCAAATAAATCTTTTAAAAAAAAAGAATATCATCTTTTTAAAAATCTTTTTTTAAATTTGAGTATCAGAGATTATATCTTTCCATATGTTCATTAACCAGTTGTGTTTCTTTTTAAAATATTCCTTACCAGGGCGCCTGAGTGGCTCAGTCAGTTAAGCGTCTGCCTTCGGCTCAGGTCATGATCCCAGGGTCCCGGGATCGAGCCCCGCATCGGGTTCCCTGCTCAGTGGGAAGCCTGCTTCTCCCTGTCCCACTCCCCCTGCTTGTGTTCTCTCTCTCGCTGTCTCTCTCTGTCAAATAAATAAATAAATAAAATCTTTAAAAAAAAAATGTTCTTTACCCAAAATGTATTAGGATCTTGAGATTAAGGGACAGTCCTTCTTGGGGCGCCTGGGTGGCTCAGTCGTTAAGCGTCTGCCTTCGGCTCAGGTCATGATTCCAGGTCCTGGGATCGAGCCCCGCATCGGGCTCCCTGCTCGGCGGGAAGCCTGCTTCTCCCTCTCCCACTCCCACTGCTTGTATTCCCTCTCTAGCTGTGTCTCTCTCTGTCAAATAAATAAATAAAATCTTTAAAAAAAAAAAAAAAAAAAAAAAAAGGACAGTCCTTCTAATCAAGTGTTGATTTTTTTCATTTTGTAGCCAAAGAAACTCTACCGGATTTGGTTTCCATAATTCCTGACACAGTCCCGAGTACTGATCTTCTTATTGAGACTACAGCCTCTGCCTGCTACACTCTGAACAATATGATCCAAAATAGTTACCAGAATGCACGGGATCTTCTAAATACTGGAGGCCTGCAGAAAATCATGACCATCAGCTCAGGCGATGTGTAAGTCCTATAGTATCTGCCTGTTGGCTGTCTCCTCATTCCTCACCACCACTCCCATATGTAAATTTCAACACACATTGAGTACCATGGGTATTATGCCCAAAAAACGAGATTGTAAAGTTGGGCCAGATCTTCTGGTTCAATCCTTGATAATCAAGCAAATGAAAAACTGAATTCTCCAAGCCAAATCGTTGCCCATTCACTTCTAAAATATCCAGATAGTCGAACTCAATAGTTTCCCTGGGTAGTACACTCCAGCCTTTTATCAACCTAATGAATTAATTTATTTCCCAGAGCCACAGCTGTGATTTAAAACCAGCAAAACGTAGGCAAAGTGGGAGTCCTAGGGACAGGGACTGCCCCTTTCCTCACTTAGATCTGGAGTCAGTGTCGCCCCAGGTGGCTTAGAAGAAGCAGGGATAATACAAGAAGTAGGAGGCAACATAATCAGAAATTCTTGCTTTCTTGGTTTTCTCTATCACATCTCTTCCATCTCTTATTCCCTTTTGAGAATAGAAGGCCTAATGTATAGAAGTCATTCTACATCCCTATTTCTGTGTCTTTAATTTTTCCCCACTTAAAAAAAAAAAGGTGATAAAGAGAATGAAAAACCTTGTGTAACGAAATTATTACTATTAGTTAATTTAGAGGCATGGAATCCAAAGAGGGCATCTTTTTCTCTTTATACAATTCTGAATTGTTTGACTTGTTAAATACAAGTTACTTTTGTAAACAACTAAGAAAGAGATGAAATGTTATACCCCAATTCTAATCAGTTGTAAAGCAAACGGACTTTACCCCTGGTAGACAGATGTGTGCCTGGCCCCACGGGAAAGCACAGCGGTCTGTGGTGTCCTGGAGTAAACACACATCTCTTTCCCCACAGCCCCATTCAGGCAGGCCCTGTGCTCTGCAGCCCCACTCTGGCAGACCTCATGGGGAAGGAAGACCATATTCAGAGTCAGGATTAAAAGGACAAACTTTTTGTTTTGTTTTTTATTTAAATTCAATTTAATTAACATATAATGTATTATTAGTTTCAGGGGTAGAATTTAGTGATTCATCAGTTGCATACAACACCCAGGGCTCATTACTTCAGTGCCCTCCTTAATGCCCATCACCCAGTTACCTCATCGCCCCCACTCACCTTGTTTTAGGACAAATTTGAAAGCAAAACATCAAAAACTAAGTATAGTGTCGGGGCACGTGGCTGGCTCAGTAGGTGGAACATGTGACTTTTGATCTCAGGGTTGTGAGTTTGAACCCCACGTTGGGTGTAGAGATTACTTAAAAAATAAAGAAGAGGGGTGCCTGGGTGGCTCAGTTGGTTAAGAGTCTGCCTTCGGCTCAGGTCATGATCCCAGGGTCCTGGGTTCCAGCCCCATGTCAGCCTCCCTGCTCCACGGGGAGTCTCCTTCTCCCTCTGCCCCTCCTCCGCTCTCTCTCACTCTCTCTCAAATAAATAAATAAAATCTTTTTAAAAAATTGAAGAAAAAAACTAAATACAGTGTCCAATTCTGTAGTGACTTGGATTTATAACAGGAGTGCATTTTCCATTCACTTTATACAAAAACAAAGAAATTTTGAAGCTATTTTAACAAATATTTCAACAAGAATTTATTATATTACCTTGAAAATACTACTCTTAACACTCGTAGAGTCACTAAGTCTAGGAGGTAGATATATTTTTCAGTCATGCTTTCCTGAATTTGTATTCTACATATATGCGTTATAGATGTACAAATACATTTCTATAGTGTGTATATATATATTTAATTTTATTTATTAATGCAATATAAAATAAATGTAAATAGTGTATATAAATATACAAATTGTATTCTATAAATCAAGGATCTATAAAATCTAAGGATATATTCCTTATAAATACCAGGAATATGCTCTATAAACTATTTGTTGGCCTGTGCTAGTGGTTTTATTTATTTGTTTGTTTGTTTATTTTTTAAAGATTTTATTTATTTATTTGACAGAGAGAGACACAGTGAGAAAGGGAACATAAGCAGGGGGAGTGGGAGAGGGAGAAGCAGGCTTCCCGCGGAGCAGGGAGCCCGACGCGGGGCTCGATCCCAGGACCCCGAGATCATGACCTGAGCTGAAGGCAGACGCTTAACGACTGAGCCACCCAGGCGCCCCTTCCCTTATTTTAATTTTATTATTATTTTTTTTGGTAAGATTTTATTTATTTATTTGAGAGAGAGAGAGAATGAGAGACAGAGAGCATGAGAGGGAGGAGGGTCAGAGGGAGAAGCAGACTCCCTGCCGAGCAGGGAGCCCGATGCGGGACTCGATCCCGGGACTCCAGGATCAAGACCTGAGCCGAAGGCAGTCACTTAACCAACTGAGCCACCCAGGCGCCCTAAAAGATTTTTTTTTAATAATTTTTTTTTTTTTAAACCCATTGTGGCCCCTGGCCTTCAAGGCTCACCATCTTGTCATTGTGAGTGGCCTGACTTAGTGGATGGCCACCGAGCAACAGCAGTTAAAGAAGATTTACGGAACGTCCAAAGACAGCATCCAGAAGCCTGACACGTTCTCACTGATCTCGGAATGCCTTTTTCCTCTTTTCAGCTATGCCTCCAACAAAGCAAGTAAAGCTGCTTCTGTTCTCCTCTATTCTCTGTGGACACACACGGAGCTCCATAATGCCTACAAGAAGGTAAGAACACTAAAAGGGTATGGGTTGCAGTTAACAGCCAGATCGTAATGTCCCGCTTGTCTGCCCCTGGTGAGACATCACTCCAAACTCCATTTTCTCTTGTGAAAATGTTGTTACCTTTCACATTTCTGTTTGCTTACTCCAAAGGCTCAGTTTAAGAAGACAGATTTTGTCAACAGCCGGACTGCCAAAGCCTACCACTCCCTTAAAGACTGAGGAAAATGAAAAATCGTGCTCTCAGAAATCTCAACTTCACCATTCTCAGCCACAAAAAAGCCCCAAAGGAAAACACCTATTTTTCTACTTCCCCGCCCAAGAAACCTCAAAAAAGCATGCCCTGTTTCTTAGCCTTTTCTATTTCCAAGGTCCCCAGAATCCAGAAAACAAATAAGCAGAATATAATTTTATTAGTCTTCTAAAAAACTTCTGCAAGTTTGCTACCAGTAGATACTGGCAACAGGCTCGCTTTTATGCTCCACAGATTGCGGTCCTTGTGACCTGGGCTTATGGTGCAGGGCCTTCCGCAACCAAAATGTGAATTCATGTGGAATGAACATTAACAACAACTAAGGAAGAAGGTGGTTGTATTACTAGGATTTTAAAAGTTTTATTTACGTTTATATTCCTTTTCTGGTTTCCATGTTTTGTCACTCATATGCACATTGCTTCGCCTTTGAGCCATGATTGTATTGTTCTGCAGTGTTGAAGCAGAATGGAAACGACAAGAAATATTTGCAGAGTTATCCAGGAGAAAATTTAATGGCAAAATTATATGTTTGTTTACTTTGTGCTTGTTTCTATCCTCTTGAATTTTTTTTTCCGATTTGAAATGAACTTAAGAAACTTAGATCACAGAGCATGCGTGACTCTAAGAAAATGAAATTGAAATGAAGCAATCACAGCAAATTTAAAAATTTTTTCACAGACAAAGGCGACTATGGTTATGAAATTCAATGTTCCCTCTAACACTGGGTAAACATGAGTCTTGCTCAAGGAAATACCTACCCTGTGACAATACCATGAAATGCAAATCTCTTCTGAATAGTAGGATTCAATGTGATCTGTTGCCTGGACTTTTTCAGCAACTTCTGTGGTCTGTTAGAAAAATGGACTCTACACTCCTCAGCTACAAAAGGAACCAGAACCTCTCAAACTGTTGTGTGAGCCCAGGGCACTGAAAATACAGCTCATTTTAATGAATTACATATCAATCAGCCGAACTTTGCCCAACATTTAAAAAATAGCACAGAGCCTTTCAATCTCATGTGATCTTCCTCAAGTCATTATTTTAAGTCAAGGAAATTCTGGAGCAAAAAAAAATGAAGACATTACGTTGAGGAAAAATATGTCAAGGCCACCCAGAAATTATATGAGAAATACTAATATTGAAAAGTTGACATCATCTGCTGAAGCGAATCTATATCAAGTGTTCTTTTAACTGAGCTGTGATTAATACCATTTACATAAAATTAGTCTTCTCAACTACAATTCTGTTATATTTTGCTTTTTTAAAAAAAAAATCTGACAATGTTTGCTATAAGAAAATAAAAAGGAAAAAATCCGTCAGCTCCTTTTCGCCAGAAAAGTGTAATAGAAAAATAAATTCCCATTTTCAATTTGAATGTGTACTTAAGTCTTTATTATATTTAGAAGATAAAATTCTTTGAATTTTAAGAGCTTGTTGGAGAAGACTTAGATTACTAACCTAGTTCAAAATGAAATTAGTTAGATACCAATTTTTAAATACTGAAGAGAGAAATCATCTCTTTTTCTAGAGTTTTGATGAATAACATTTGGAACATTTTTATTCCTCCAGGTAACTGATGGATGTTCAAGAAGCTTCTGTGTTTTTTAAGGCATTTCTTAAACACAAAAAGAGGGCAAAATAATGTTGCCTGCATTGGTATCTGTGTATATCTGATTTATTTGTGTATCGTGGTATATGTGATATGATTAAATTTCGGTTGGTAAGGGTTTAATAAATGTTTCTATTTCTTCCCTACTTAAAGCCCTAAATTCTTTACCAAGAAACACTTCCAGTAAGAAGACTGGAATTAGCTAATGACTAAAGCATATAACCATGGAGAGACATACAAATGTGGTAGATTTTAGTGAATTGAGTTGGTCTGTGACACTGATAAGATAGTGTTTGATCCCCATGTCCTGCTTTGTTCATCTGCTTACCAAAAACCTCACTACTTTACTATCTGTGGAGACCTCTGAGGGAGGAGGTCCTTGTGTGTTGAATATCAGTTTTTGATCACAGGTCCACACAAAAAGCCCTTTTTTTAAAAAAAATATGTGTCCCAACCTTGCCCATGTCATCAGGGCAATTGACAAGCTGAGTGTGGCCTTTTTGTGTATTTGGGCTAAGAGCTCCAAAGGGCTGCGTCCTTGTCAAGAATTCTTAATGGTGTTGTGGCATATGGGAGGGTGCTGCCCTGGCTTTCTGTCACTGGAAACATTTGTTTATATGTGATGGAAATAACCAAAGGGTTATCTGGCAAGATAGGGGATTAACATGTCAAATGGGAAAATAAGCAGCATGAGTAGATAAACCACTTTAAAATGAATTTAATCACCCTCTGAAGAAGCAATTTCTTAGAATAAAAAAAGGAAATAGGAAATAAATATATTTAAATATATCTTTATATACATATAATTTATTTGTACTATAGTTATAAATGAAATTTCCTCTAAAATGTGTCATGAACTTATTATGCTTTGGAATGAGGACTACTTCAGTATGCTGTACTTTCAACAAAATTGCAGAAGCCTTGAATCACGGGATGTGAGGATTAGGGGGGAATTTAGAGGACATCTGGTCAAGTCCTCCTTAAAGTATTGTCTTGCATCAGAAAAGACGCAGTTCTTATCAAAGGGACAGGAGAAAATTTGCAGTCATTCTTTCAGCTGATGCTCAGCGTAACCCTGTAATTCGCTCATTTTAAGAGTCAGTAACTGTTACACTAAAGTATTTGTTGTGGAAGAGAAAATAAAAAAGGAAACAAACTTTTCAAAATAAAATCCTGCTTTAGATTTAATATTTTAGTTTATAGCGGTACTGACAGTTTCATCTCTTAGGAAATAAACTTCAACCTTTTAAGGACTGTAAAAGAAAGGAAAACTCTCTTTTTATGACATATTCAGGAAAGAGAGATCAAAATGCTGTATGTTGGTAAAAGAGCTGTTTAAAGTATGAGTGGAAGGAAAAGCATTCTGAAGCCATAGTCTGGGAGACACACGTAAAGAATCCAGCAATAGTTAGCCTGGAAGAAAGGTGCCATGTTACCTGTCTTTAAATATCTGAAGGACCTTTGTATAAAAGATGACAGTCTTATTCTGAGTAGAAGACAGACCAGTACCAATAGGTAGAGACTTGTGAGACTAGCTTTGACTGAACAATAGTGAACATATATTGAGCACTCCTCACAGTCTCCTCATGAAGGATATACTTTTTCCTCTTTTCAGATATGGTTGGTTCAGTTAAATGCCCTAACCCCTTCCCCCCAGTTACCCATTTTACACACACACACACACACACACACACCCATCCCTTAGAAGGCCAGGTAAAAACGGGGAAAACAAATATGGCCCAGTCAACTGATTCTGAATGTCTGTACCTCAGGAAACAAGTCTTTTGGGAGGTATTTATAAGTGTTAATATGAAAAGAAATATCCCCAAATCAAATAAGTTTGAGAAGGGCTGAGTTATACAAAGACTGATTGCAAGACTTCTCAGAGTCCCTAACATGCAATGTGCATTGTGAAATCTCCCAAGAATGGGAGATTTTTGTTTGAATCAATACACCCTTTTCTCTTTGATGGCTCTTGAAACTATGCTTCTGTTGTAGGCAACTGTGATCTGGGCCAGAGGCAGGAGGACAAGAGGCATTTATCTGCTCGGCAGGCTAGTCCAGCTCATCTCCGGAGGCCTGGACTACTCAGAAACCATACCTGGGCTTAGCCATGATTTAGGGAAATCTGAAAATCAATGATTTCAATAGATTAAGGACTAGTTCCTGAATATTTTGTTTCCTTCCCACCTGGAGTGTGCTCATCTACAGGCAGGAAGGCAACTCAGAAGGCGGTTATTAGCCCAGAGGAGCAGGTTGAGGCAACAACAGACATTCCTACATCCAGCTGATCATAATTGTCATAAATCTCACATCAACCTTGTCATAAATCTCACAGCAAGAAGCAGTTATATCTCTCACAGGCCGAAATTTCACCGTAAGCTACTAACAATCCATCTGGCAAGGAATAAAAAACAAGTTCAAATTGCAGATTTTCCTACAACTGTAGTATGATGTTCTTCCCAGTAACAAGTAATCCTTTGGGAGTTTTGTTTTAGAAAAAAAGGGGGAGTTCCACTTTTAATTATCTTTCAACGTGCATGTATTGAACATTTATTCCTGGAGCTGAGGACCAGTGAGATGCACCTTTATGAGAAAGTGCTCACAGGTCTGAGCAAAACGGACATCTCTGTGATGGACACTTGTACAGTTTACAGTATCCTTTGCGTTATCTGGGAAATGAAAAGTCATTTCCTGGGAAATGAACGTCATCATCCTATAGGGTGAGAGTTGGGTAACTCTAGACCCATACAGACCTTCTGGAATAGGTCTCTCCTAAAACACAAATGGTTAGCCTGAGAGGCAGAGGATTATTAAGAAGATACCTGCATGTTTAGCCAGAAGGAGTTGTTAGAACTTATATCCTTTAATAGAGTGTGTGAAAATTTTAGTATTTAGAAAAAATTGACAAAATTCTTTTTCTCAAATTTGTTTTGCCTCTTGCTCTAATTGGAGGTTTTTGCAGTTCCTAATTTAAAGAATAGAAGTAACCTATTTTTGTAGTATTGCCTGAACAGCTTTTTATAATTATGTGTGAACATATAAAATAGCACATTCCCACTTCTGGTGGTTCATACCTAAAGTGACCCATTTCCTCATCCCATGGTTCTATTTCTCCTGCTTTAGTTTATCACTTAAGATACTTCATTTGCATTTGAGTAACAAAAAAGTTCAACTCAAGTGGCTTAAACAATAAATGTATTTATTTTGTGTAACAGGAAGACCAGGTTTAGGCTCAGGCTTGGTTATTCCAGCAGCTCATTGAAGTCATCAAGAATCTAGATTCCTGGCGTGGCTGGGTGGCTCAGTTAAGTGACTGCCTTCCGCTCAGGTCATGATCCCAGGGTCCTGGAATCGAGCCCGCATGGGGCTCCCTGCTCAGTGGGGAGGCTACTTCTCCCTCTCCCTCTGCATCCTCCCTTCCCCCACTTGTGCTCTCTCTTGCTCACTCTCTCAAAATCTTTTTTTTAAAAATCTAGATTCCTTCAGTCTTTCTGCTCTGCCATCCTCAGCATTTTTGCTTTTGTCCCCTGGTTGATTTCTCCATGTTGACAAAATGGTTGCAGCAGCTCCAAACATGCCACCTTTACAGGGCCGTGTCTAAAGGCCGGAAGAGGAAGCAATCCTTTCTTGCATCCTTTTTCTTAATAAGTAAAGAAAAATTTCCCAGAAGTCTCCATCAGGTATCCCTCATTTCATATTGCCCAGAATTCTATCACCTGTCCATTCCTAAATCAATTCCTGGTGAGAAAAATAAAACTGTTCCTTTCTCAAACCAATCACATTTCACCCAAGGCTGGGCCTACCTCCCCTGAGACGCTTGGATGGAGAATACTTGAACGAAGCCCGGGTTTTATTGAGCAAGGACAAAAGGGGCTGCAGAGTAGTCAACCAACATCGCCTGCTATCTGTAAGGACATTTGAAGAAGAAAGAATTCAACTTTTTTTTTTTTTTTTAAGAATTCAACATTTTTTAGCAACCTGACTTCATTTGGCCTGTAAAAGAAGTGTTGTCTCAAATGCCACAGGGGAAAGAAAAAGTTTGGCAGTTGCATTGCATTTAGGACAAAGTCTGTGAGGTCTTGTGGATAAAGAATGGTGGAAGAGCTGGGAACTGCAGTTAAACCAATAATCATGATTTCAAGGAGAATAAGGAAAGAAGACGATGCTCAGCTGAACGGTAGGGGTAGAATAAAATCATTTCAGAAGTACTGTGCCTCTTATTCATTTTCTTGACATCTACCATTCCTCACCTTTAACTAGTCAATTATGGAACCCAAGTTATACCTTCATGGACCAAATCACCTTAGAAGAACGTTTGGTCTGCGCCTGAGGTGTTTGGATAATCTCATTACCTCAGTGAGCCATCGGTTTAACCAGTAGACTAAAACACGGATTGGTATTCTGACTTTACCTCTCCCTGGCTGGCTGACTCTGGGGAGTTATTTTAACTTTCTGAGTCCCTGGTAAAATGGAGTTGACAATTACTGCTTCATTGGATTGTTCAGGGAATAAAATGAGGTGATGTTTTCATCATGCTTGGCGCCTGGGCACTCTCAATACAAAGTAGCCTTGACGACCTCCTGTAGATCGGGCTGCTGCCCAGGGGTTCCCCAGCCTTCAGCTTCTGCCTCCAGTTTCATTACCCTGCTTTTCACAGTGGCCCAGGAATCATCTTAGCGCAGAAAGCAGAATCCATAATGTTGAAACAGGAAATGATGAGAGAGAGAGAGGGAAAACTTCCCTGCTGGATATTCTCGTCCCCTCCGGCCCCTCCTCATGCCTCCTGGTTCTGCTCACTCTTCTGCTGATCCATAATCCACACCAAACTCTGTCCTCCTGAAGAACTCAAATCAGGTAAACCTTCTAGGGGAACAAAGTGAAAGGACTCCCCGGACTGCTAGTGTTGTAACGGGAGATAATATTGAATAAGTTTTTCTATTAAAGAAAGGCATTTGGGGTGCCTGAGTGGCTCAGTCGGTTAAGCGTCTGCCTTCCGCTCAGGTCATGATCCCAGGGTCCTGGGATCGAGCCCTGCGTTGGGCTCCTTGTTCGGCAGGAAGCCTGCTTCTCCCTCTCCCACTCCCCCTGCTTGTGTTCCCTCTCTTCGCTGTGTCTCTCTCTGTCAAAAAATAAAATCTTTAAA